GCAGCAGAGCGCCGCCGCCTGTCTGGCTTTTATTCCACCGCCAGCATTTTGCCCAGAGGAGTTGTCACCGCGCTAAGCAGGAAAATCAAGGAAAAATATCTCTGGCCACATCTGTCCATCCCAAACTGTAGTTAGAAGGTAATTCAGAAGGAAATTATCTGTGACAAGAGAAAAATGTCTGTTTGTCGGAGCAGATCGCCCTGACACGGAGAGCTGGCTGTTTTCTTCGCTGAGCTGCTTGGTGAGAACTTCCTGTAAAGTTAGACGCTGAAATAAAGGATAAAATTCCACATAAAGACTAGTCCTCAGTCAGTTTGTTCAAGTCCAAAGCCATGATTAGTGGATTAAACTCAGCAGAGTTTAAAATGATGGAGACCAGCTGGAGGTGGAACAGAGCAGTTCATCAGATCACAAAAAAAAGACCCTCCTCATCAGACTCACACCGTTCGTACTCAGACTGTTTAGACTCAGACCGTTTAGACTCAGACCATTTAGACTCAGACCGTTTCGACTTAGACTTGGACCGTTTCGACTCAGACCGTTTAGACTCAGTCCATTTAGACTTAGACTCAGACCATTTAGACTCAGACAGTTTAGACTCAGACCATTTAGACTCAGACCGTTTAGAGTCAGACCGTTTAGACTCAGACCGTTTAGACTCAAACCGTTTAGACTCAGACTCCCACTGTTTAGACTCAGACTCGCACCGTTTAAACTCGTTTTTAGTTTAGTTCAGTTTTTTGTTTAGTATAGTTCAGCTTTTAGTTAGATTAGTTTAGTTTTTAGTTTATGTTCGTTTTTAGTTTGGTTTAGTTTTTAGTTTATTATGTTTAGTTTAGTTTTTAGTTTAGTTTAGTTCAGTATTTAGTTAAATTAGTGTAGTTTTAAATGTAGTTTAGTTCAGTTTTTAGTTAGATTAGTTTAGCCTAGTTTTCAGTTTATTGTAGGTTTTAGTTTAGTTTATTCTAGTTTTTGGTTTATTTTAGTTTTTAGTTCGGTTTAGTTTAGTTTTGTTTTTAGTTCAGATTTTAGATTAGTTTCGTTTAGGTTTTAGTTTATTTTAGTTTAGCTTTTAGTTAGATTAGTTTAGTTTTTAGTTTAGTTTAGTTTTCAGTTTATTTTAATTTTAGTTTAGTTTTTAGTTCAGTTTTTAGTTTAGTTTAGTTCAGTTTTTAGTTAGATTAGTTTAGTTTTTAGTTTAGTTTACTTTAGATTTTAGTTAAATTAGTTTAGTTTTGTTTATTTTTCATTTTAGTTAGTATTAGTTTAGTTAAGTTTAATGTTTAGTTTAGTTTATTTTTTAGTTTAGTTTAGTTTTTCTTGAGTAAATGAAAGGCTGGGAAAAAAATAAGTATTAAATTTAAATAGTGAAGAAAAGACCAAGAAAGTAATCAGTCAGAAGGGGCCAAATCAACCAGTCCCCCTGAAACCCTGAACAGGGGCATGTTCATTTTCAATGACACAATAACAGTTAAAGGTCAAGAGCACTGCTGCTGAGCAAGGAAGGCGGTCCCTCGGTAATCCAGTCGCAGCGAGTGATCCAAGCACCAGGTCCCTTTCTGCTGTCCGGTGGGAAACATTTGGATGTGGTTTTTACCCGGTCCTGCTCCTGGCCCCGGGGCCGGTGGGGTTCCAGCTGTGGGTCCCCGCCTGCATTAATTGGCTGTTATCCATGGCGATTCTTGTTGTTAGGAGGTCTGCCCAGGTCTGTTATGATGGACTGCAGTTGAAGGCCTGGGCAGACGGTACCGTATATCTATGATCTCCTGGGGATACAGAGGTGGAATTACCTTTAGCTAAACTTTTCCAGCTGACCTGTCCATCTTCTCTTGTTTAAATAAAATTTTACATTAATCAGAGATTTTAATTCTATTAAAGGTTTTAAATCAGTTAATTTCTTATCTGCACCTAAAGTACCTGCATCTCACTTCTTAGGCCATCTTTACTCTAGATTATAAATCTAGATTGGTTGGTCCCAAATCTGTAGACTAACTAATCAGAGGAGCAAAGACCCAACTGGACTACCGCCGTCTTAAAATGGCTCCAGACTTGTAAACATGGTAGTGACTGACAGTATGGATCTGTTTCGAACCTCTGAACCGTGGCCTAGTTTACACTGGACGGTTTTTTACTCAGAGGTCAATGATTGTTGACTAGAGGAAGGAAGCAGTGAGCCTCTCATCCTCTGGGAAACTGGTCAGAGTACCACTGATACAAGCTAAAATAATATTTCATAGCAAACACCTTTACAGGCCGTGGCTCAGTAGAAGAGAGACCATCAGTCCATCAGACCAGGTTCTGATGCAGGGAGGGGAGGAGAGGAGGAGCCTGTAGAAGCAACAGACATCCCACCCAATTTATCTTTAAGACGATATCACTTCATATTTGCCACACATTCTGTTTCATCATCTGTGTTCAGCGTAGTGGTTTGAATGCTGTAGACCTATGCAGCGGACCTGTGCTGCACCTATGCTGTAGACCTATGCTGCAGACCCATGCTGCAGACCCATGCTGCAGACCTATGCTGCAGACCTATGCTGCAGACCTATGCTGTAGACCTATGCTGCAGACCTATGCTGCAGACCTATGCTGTAGACCTATGCTGTAGACCCATGCTGCAGACCCATGCTGCAGACCTATGCTGCAGACCCATGCTGCAGACCTATGCTGTAGACCCATGCTGCAGACCCATGCTGCAGACCTATGCTGCAGACCTATGCTGTAGACCTATGCAGCGGACCTGTGCTGGACCTATGCTGTAGAACCATGCTGCAGACCCATGCTGCAGACCTATGCTGTAGACCTATGCTGTAGACCCATGCTGTAGACCTATGCTGCAGACCCATGCTGCAGACCCATGCTGCAGACCTATGCTGCAGACCTATGCTGTAGACCTATGCTGTAGACCTATGCTGCAGACCTATGCTGTAGACCTATGCTGCAGACCCATGCTGCAGACCTATGCTGTAGACCTATGCTGTAGACCTATGCTGCAGACCTATGCTGTAGACCTATGCTGTAGACCTATGCTGTAGACCCATGCTGTAGACCTATGCTGCAGACCCATGCTGTAGACCTATGGTGCAGACCTATGTTGCAGACCTATGTTGCAGACCTATGCTGCAGACCTATGCTGCAGACCTATGCTGCAGACCCATGCTGTAGACCTATGCTGCAGACCCATGCTGTAGACCTATGCTGCAGACCTATGTTGCAGACCTATGCTGCAGACCCATGCTGTAGACCTATGCTGTAGACCTATGCTGTAGAGCCATGCTGTAGACCTATGCTGCAGACCCATGCTGTAGACCTATGCTGTAGACCTATGCTGTAGAGCCATGCTGTAGACCTATGCTGCAGACCTGTGCTGCAGACCCATGCTTTAGACCTATGCTGTAGACCTATGCTGTAGACCTATGCTGCAGACCCATGCTGTAGACCTATGCTGTAGACCTGTGCTGTAGACCAGGTGTCATCAACGTAGCAGAAGCTGTGGTGTTTCCACATTAGGGAAGATCATCGCTTTTTTACACTTCCTCCATTCAGAGGTTGGCCAGAGTTAGTGACACTGGAGATCCCATCAATCAGATCCCATCAATCAGATCCCATCAATCAGATCCCATCAATCAGATCCCATCAGTTAGATCCCATCAGTCAGATCCCATCAGTCAGATCCCATCAGTCAGATCCCATCAGTTGGATCCCATCAATCAGATCCCATCAATCAGATCCCATCAATCAGATCCCATCAATCAGATCCCATCAGTTGGATCCCATCAGTCAGATCCCATCAGTCAGATCCCATCAGTCGGATCCCATCAATCGGATCCCATCAATCAGATCCCATCAATCAGATCCCATCAATCAGATCCCATCAGTTGGATCCCATCAGTCAGATCCCATCAGTCAGATCCCATCAGTCAGATCCCATCAGTCAGATCCCATCAGTCAGATCCCAGCAATCAGATCCCATCAATCAGATCCCATCAGTCAGATCCCATCAATTAGATCCCATCAATTAGATCCCATCAGTTGGATCCCATCAGTTGGATCCCATCAGTTGGATCCCATCAATCAGATCCCATCAGTTGGATCCCATCAGTTGGATCCCATCAATCAGATCCCATCAGTCAGATCCCTTCAATCAGATCCCTTCAATCAGATCCCATCAGTCAGATCCCATCAGTTGGATCCCATCAGTCAGATCCCATCAGTTGGATCCCATCAGTCAGATCCCATCAATCAGATCCCATCAGTCAGATCCCATCAATCATATCCCATCAATCATATCCCATCAGTCAGATCCCTTCAATCAGATCCCATCAGTTAGATCCCATCAGTCAGATCCCATCAGTCAGATCCCATCAGTTGGATCCCATCAGTCAGATCCCATCAGTCAGATCCCATCAGTTGGATCCCATCAGTCAGATCCCATCAATCAGATCCCATCAATCATATCCCATCAATCAGATCCCATCAGTCAGATCCCATCAATTAGATCCCATCAGTTGGATCCCATCAGTCAGATTCCACCAATCAGATCCCATCAGATGTCATCATGTTTGAAGTAATTTGAGGGAAACCAGGTCCAGCAGGGTCCAAACAATTGGTTCCTTTATTGTTCCTGTTGCTTCACAGGTGGGTCTCCAGGTGAAAAGGGAAGTGATGCTGAGGGACAGCAGTGTTAGTCCTGGATCCAGGTCAGATGCTAAATCTTGTTTGCCAGGAGAGGAAAGCGTCATTCTGTTCCTTCTTAATATATTTCAGAAAGTCTATATCAGAATCCTTTCTGGCAGGATGTACTTCAGCAGGAGGTGCATCTTCTGCTGGTCCTTCTAAGTTGCACTTGTCCATCGATTCAGCTACATTTGGTCTACCTTTTGACATTTATTTAAAGAAGTTGGGGGGGAGGGGGAATTAACTCAATAACCTTTTCTATCAGATGGAGACATTTGCTTTTTCTTATACGCTTCCATAATTCATTTTTTTTCTTTTGACAGGATTTATGTCCAGCCAAACATGCAACGGATGAAGATCTGATCCAGAGACTCCTCATTGTCCACTCAGAATGGCGTCCTCCCCTGGACTGAGCCCTGACCCTCTGCCCATGCTTCAGCTGCAGGAGACAGACGCAGTCAAAGAACCAGACAGACCTGCCTCTCCTGGACTCCTCCCCACCATGTACAGTCCTCCAGTGGGCTTAGACAGTCACACTGTCTGCATCCCCTCTCCTTATACGGACAGTAGTCATGACTACCATGGACACGGACCCTTGACTTTCTACAGTCCATCTGTCCTGGGCTATACCAGGGCACCTATAACAGACAGTCCGTCCTCCCTGTGCCCCCCACTTAGCCCCTCTACGTTTTGGCCTTCCTACAATCACAGCACACCTTCTCTTACTCTGCACTGCACCCAGCCACTTGTCTACCATGAAACCAGCCCCCATGGCCCCTGGTTGGAGTCCAAACCCCACAGCCTGAACCCCAGCAGGTAGGAATAACGAGCCTCACATTTCGGAGACATCCAGTAATGACCAAGCCGGTAGTGGTTCATGTATTTGTACCTAAAGTCATTGTTTGGTAAAAGCTGTTTGTCCTGCATGCCAAATAAGTGCAGTGTCGCTTCAAACCTGAAGCAGAGGAGAACCGTAATGTGCAGAACTGAACTACAGATTTCAGCAGGAAACAGAGGACTCCCAGAAAACTACGCTGGACATTAGAGAAACACAGTCATCATCTGTGTTCCACCTTCAGAGACACAACAGGAAGCTGCTTGAATGAGCACTTAGGATTCATTAAAGGGGCAACAGAAGCTGCAGTGTTCGTTAACAGGTTTAGTTGGTTTTCCATCTCATTAAGATTAGTGTGGCTTTTTGGATTAGTGTAGTTTGCCAAAACAATGTCGGACTCCGTAATTTTCTCTGGTCCCCTCCCTGATCTGACCAGTGATGACATGTTTAGCCGCATGTCGTCATTCAACCGCTGGTTATCTAGGTGGTGTCCTGAAAACAACGTGGGTTACATTAATAATTGGCAATCTTTTTGGGGAAAGCCTGGTCTGATTCAGAGAGACGGCATCCATTCCACTTAGGAAGGTGCAGCTCTTCTTTTTAGGAATCTGGCCGAATGTATTAGTCCTCCAAAACCCTGACCACCCAGGGTGCAGACCAGGAAGCAGAGTCGTAGTTTAATGTGGCGCTCACACCAAACCTGAAACATGCAGAAATTGTGAAAGTGCTTTTGCCTGCCAGACGTTCTTCTAGCTAGCGAAAACAATTTGCACATCAGGCAAAAAATCTCCAACCATGTCAGGCAGCCTGTTGGCTGTCAGTTTAACCTCAACATGACAGAGAGACATTTACAGAGGGACTTGTACGGCGGTATTTCCTTTGGAGGGCAAACTGAAGGAAGCCGCTAGTTTCTCTGGGTCAACCAGATTCTCGAGATAGTTTGGTATGACGGCATTCAGACGGTGGTAGATCAGAAATAAAAGTTTTTGATTGGAGAGGCCTACCAGGCAGACAGAGTGAAGGAGAGGGAGCAGCTGATGGAAGCTAGCTCTGGAGTCTAACAGAGAAAGGGACAGGTGACGACTAGCCTGTGCCTGTGCTGGAGATAAGGGAGGGAGATGAACAATACTCCTAGATCTTTTTATTTGAACCCCTTAGGAGCATTCCTCCATCCTTTGACCCTTTTCCCCATTTGACAAACAAGCTTTATCTCCATTGTTCCCCATCACTGTACCTCACAGCAACATCTAGTCCCAGTTTCAGATTTTTCTGCGAGTTTTGGCTTGCGTACTTCGCAGGTGCGACTGCACTCTTGTTTTGCTGTTTTCGCCAAAGGTGTACCTGTCGTCACACTAGTATCATGACCCTGGCCTCGCCCCCCAAAGCTACAGTAGGGACGACTTGGTAATCATTTGCTTTGGTTGTGATGCACCTGACTCTCTGACTGGGGAAAACTGAATATCTTTTAAAAAATTCCAAATAGTAAATCCTAAATAATCAAAGTGAGCACGACTCCAACTGAGAAAAAAAGTAAAACAATAACTTTAGTTCAGTGATCTTAATATCACTTTCATCAGAGTTTTTTTTGTTAATGACTCCATTTTTGATAATCAAATGAATTTATGTTGCCTTACATGTAAATATATATTAATATCCTGTATAGCACTTCTGGATAGATGCAAACTACATTTCATTGCTCTGTACTTCTGATGATGTAATGAGAATGAAGTTGAAATCCAATCTATTCTATTCTCTTCATTGGCTTCCTGTTAAATCCAGAATAGAATTAAAAATCCTCCTTCTTACATATAAAGCCTTAAATGACCAAGCTCCATTTGATATCAGAGATCGGATTGTTCCTTATGTTCCTAACAGAGCACTTCGCTCTCAATCTGCAGGTTTACTAGTGGTTCCTAGAATTTCTAAAAGTAGAATGGGAGGCAGGTCTTTTAGTTATCAGGCTCCTCTCCTGTTAAAAGTGAGTTTTCCTCTCCACTGTCGCTGCATCCATGCTCAGTGTGAGGGATGCTCAAGAGTCAAGTGGAGGCTTTCATGTCTCTACCTGCTCATATGGGAGCAGAGAATCCTGTGAGTTCGATGATTGGATGCAATCAGCTGCTTTTCCTTTGAAACTTTGAACCAATCAGATTTGAGGATCTGGTTTAATTATCTCTGGAAAGCATCTTGGGATGATGTGTTGTGAATTGGAATTGAAAACTGAATTGAAAATTGATTTGAATTAAAGGAGCCCTTTAAAGGTGTGTGTGTGGTTGGGTGGGTGGGGGGGTGGCAGAGGGGGTTGTTGTAAGCCCTATTTTAATTTGTCACTTGCAATATGTGTTGTGTGTTGATTGTTTCTATGGTTACAGTGAAAACTTTCAGGTTAATCAGGAGGTAATGTTATCAGTCATTATATGTGGAGCAACCTGACAACCACTGATGTTTTAATCATCTGATAGCTTTTATTTCCAGCCAGCAGAATCTGAATAAGGACCAACCAGCCAGTGAGTGATGATGATGATGGGAGGCTGTCGTTGCCACTCAGTCTGTTTTCTTCCTGCTGCTCTGTCCTCAGCTGCAGCAAGCTGCTGGGGAGGAAGTCAGAAGAAGAAGCAGAGGGAGGGAAGTCCTCCTCTTGCTCATCCTCTGTAGGGAAAGCAGACATGCACTTCTGCGCCGTCTGTCATGACTACGCATCTGGCTACCACTATGGCGTGTGGTCGTGTGAGGGCTGCAAAGCTTTTTTCAAGAGGAGTATCCAAGGTATTCCCCTCCCTCTAAGCCCCTCATATCCTCATTAGTTTGCTTCATCACTTAGAAAAACTTGTTCTTGTCTCCAGGACACAACGACTACATTTGCCCTGCAACAAACCAATGCACTATAGACAAGAACCGTCGTAAAAGCTGCCAGGCCTGCCGCTTACGGAAATGCTACGAAGTGGGCATGATGAAGTGTGGTAGGCATCATCAACCATCTCTCCACCATCATGTCCACAACAAGTCATGCAGTTTTAAACAAATAGCTTCAGATTATTTCACTGAAAACACTGTTCAAATGTAGGAAAGTACAGTTGCAGCATAATCATGCTGTGGAAATCTGAATCATAAGTGGGAAGGATGTTTGCTAACCAGCTGCTACTCAAAGGCAAACATCAAAGAACATGAAAAGATTTGGAATCAACAGATGAAAGTTATCTAGAAATGTTAGAAGAGCAGCATTACAGATATTAAGGTTTACAATAGAAACAATAAAGGAAAATAAATATTATTTACCTGCACTGAGAATTATTTATATTATTTATATTATTTTGCATCATCCAGTCAGATCGATTCAGTTTTCTGTCTAAGGAAAAGCAGTTGATTGCATTCATTCAGCATCCATCCATCCATCCATCCATCCATCCATCCATCCATCCATTCATCCATCCATCCATTCATCCATCCATCCATCATCCATCCATCCATCCATCCATTAATCCATCCATTAATCCATCCATCCATCCATCCATTAATCCATCCATCCATCCATCATCCATCCATCCATTCATCCATCATCCATCCATCCATCCATCCATCCATCCATCCATTAATCCATCATCCATCCATCCATCCATCCATCCATCCATTAATCCATCATCCATCCATTAATCCATCATCCATCCATCCATCCATCCATCCATCCATTAATCCATCCATTAATCCATCCATCCATCATCCATCCATTAATCCATCCATCCATCCATCCATCAACCATTAATCCATCATCCATCTATCCATCCATCATCAATCGATCCATCCATACATCCATCGATCCATCCATCATCCATCCATCCATCCATCCATCCATCCATCCAACCATTAATCCATCCATCCATCCATTAATCCATCCATCCATCCATCCATTAATCCATCCATCATCCATCCATCCATCCATCCATCCACCCATCCATCCATCCATCCAACCATTAATCCATCATCCATCCATCCATCCATCCATCCAACCATTAATCCATCATCCATCCATCCATCCATCCATCCATCCATCCATCCATCCATCCATCCATCCATCCATCCATCCATTAATCCATCATCCATCCATCCATCCATCCATTAATCCATCCTCCATCCATCCTCCATCCATCCATCCATCCATCCATCCATCCATCCATCCATCCATCCATCCATCCATCCATCCATCCATCCATCCATCCATCCATCCATCCAACCCAGAACCTTTTTGCTGCCAGGAAGCAGTTTTTACCCACTGTAACACTGAGCAACCCCATTAACAATAAAAAAGTTGAATAAAACATAATTATTAAATGATGTTTTATTCCACTAGAAGCGGTAGTTTCCTTTAGAAGTGATGTTCTCCAGGATTGAATGTCACACAGAGTCCTGATCCCAGACGGACCGCTCTGATCCCTCACAAATGTTTGGTCCCCCATTCATTCTCTCTGGCCTTCTTGTCCACTAGGTGTGAGGCGTGAACGCTGCAGCTACCGCGGGGCCCGGCATCGCCGTGGAGGGCCCCACCTTAGAGATGCATCAGACAGAAGTTTGATGAGGGTCGGGATGGCTCCACGCGCTCAGCGTCTTCCCCCACTGGACCTGCCTCTCTCCCCGCCGGCTCAGCTCAGCCACGCTAACCCGACGGCCATGACCCCTGAGGAGTTCATCTCCCGGATCATGGAGGCAGAACCGCCTGAGATCTACCTGATGGAGGACCTGAAGAAGCCCTTCACTGAGGCCAGCATGATGATGTCTCTCACCAGCCTGGCAGACAAGGAGCTGGTGCTCATGATCAGCTGGGCCAAAAAGATCCCAGGTAAGAAGCTTAACATCTCCTTAGATGAACATTTTCTGCTGGTCTTCATGGATAGGTAGGAGAAAGTCAAAGGTCTGAGTTTGGCTTTAACTTCGGTTTCCCTCCCATCTGCATCTTTTCCTGCTCACAGGCAGCTTCCAGACGTTGATTGAAGGAGCTCACAAAGACTCTAGCTTTGAATGAAGACTTTTTTTTTCTGATTTGCTGTGATTTGGTTCATTCTCTCCGAAATGAAAATGAGTTCACATTTTCTGCTCTGAGATGAGAGCTAGCAGCTGGGAGAGGCGCCGTCTGTCAGGTGAAACACGGATTCTGTTTGTTCAGTTATTTTATGGTTAAAATGATTCCTCTTTGGTGAAAGCTTCTTTTAAACCCCGAAGCACCAAGAAAACCATTTAGAGGAGAAGATGAGCTGCATCTGAATGTTTGGCTCTGATCTAATATGAGCCTGAATAAAGAGAGCCTGATATGTTACAGCTTAAATGTAAAACAGGTCAGGCTCTGCCCCATTTAAATAAGCTTATAGTTTGTTCTACTGGGAGTCTGGGAGTTGCTCTAAAAGACAGATGAAATAAGTTATGACATTAATAAACAAAATAAAAATTAAAAATTAAAACAGTTTTATAACAACAGTTTCAATTTCACAAGTTCAGTATTTCAAAGAGCTACAAAAATGTCTTTTTCACATGCAGGTACAGTGGGGAGAACAAGTATTTGATACACTGTTGATTTTTCAGGTTTTCCCACTTCCAAAGCTTGTAGAAGAGTAATTTTTATCATAGGTACTCTTCAACTGTGAGTGATGGGGTCTAAAACAAAAATCCAGAAAAATACAATGTATGATTTTTAAATATTTAATTTCCATTTTATTGTGTGAAGTAAGTATTTGATCATCTATCAACCAGTAAGAATTTTGGCTCTCACAGACATGTTAGTTATTCTTTAAGAAGCCCTCCTGTTCTCCACTCATTACCTGTATTAACTGCACCTGTTTGAACTCATTGCCTGTATAAAAGACACCTGTCCGCACACTCAATCAATCACACTCCAGCATCTCCACAATGCCCAAGACCAGAGAGCTGTGTAAGGACATCAGGGATAAAATTGTGTACCTGCACAAGGCTGGGATGGGCTACTGGACAATAGGCAAGCAGCTTGGTGAGAAGGCAACAACAGTTGGTGCAATTATTAGAAAATGGGAGAAATACAAAATAACGGAAAATCTCCGTCGGTCTGGGGCGCCATGCAAGATCTCACCTCATGGAGCATCATTGATCTTGAGGAAGGTGAGGAATGAGCCCAGAACTACACGGCAAGACCTGGTCAATGACCTGAATAGAGCTGGGACCACAGTCTCAAAGAAAACAATCAGTAACACTCTACGCCGTCAAGGATTAAAATCCTGCAGTGCACGCATGGTGCCCTTCCTCAAGCCAACGCATGTCAAAGCCCGTCTGATGTTTGCATCGCCTCCGGGATGAACCAGGCCTCCATTTGATCCTGCAGCTGAACTCCAGGACAATCACCATCCTGGTGATCAAGGAAGGTCTTTCCTCCGGTTCTCAGCTGCTGTTGCTTGAGGCTCCTTTTGCTCCTCCGTTTCCACATGTTCTGGATTCAGAGACGGTGTCTGACAGCGGTTAGCTAGAGCCAGTGGTCCTCCCTATCATCTGACATCAGCCAGCTGCTCCCCTGCTTCTTTCCAGGCTGAAACCTACAGTAAGAACCTGAACCAGTGTACTTCTGGACTGGACTTAAAGCAGACGTCATATGATAAGCAGATGATGGCATCTGATAGCTGCTGATGCTAAGTTTCAGGATGCATCCGTCGGTTGGTCTTTAGCTGTGGGAATCTGTATCTGCAGAGTTCATTCTGATGCCTTCCTAACATCTGGGATCCTGCCGTGTGATTGGCCGATTCGACGACCAGTCGCTGTTCATCTGGATGTTTATTTTAGGTGATTTGAAGTAACAGCTTGTCTTTATCCTCCTCCCCAGGCTTTGTGGAGTTGAGTCTAGCAGACCAGATCCACCTGCTGAAGTGCTGCTGGCTGGAGATCCTGATGCTGGGCCTTATGTGGAGGTCTGTGGACCATCCTGGGAAGCTCATCTTCTCTCCGGACTTCAGACTCAGCAGGTCAGAAAGTTTTCTACCATCTGGTGTCATATTTGTTTCTAAGATCTGCCGTCCTCTCAGGCTGTACGATGAACATTCAGAAAATATGGTTGAGTTTATTTTGGGATGTTTTCAAAATGCAGTAGCCCGGGACAGTCCCCATTTAGTAGCACCTGTCCCTGGAAATGTCCCCGTTGATTTGACCCGTTATGAATTAAATGTTGCGTGTCGATGGTTATTACGGTAGGAAGAGCAGAAACAGCTGGCCTCTTTGTGACACTGTTAACGTTAAGATGTGGGACAGAGTGCACCCCTTTTAAAACAGAAGAAGAAGAAGAGGAGGAAAAAGAAGAAGGTCATTTTCAGAGCTGATGGTGGTATTATGGTGAGTGTGTCAATCGATTCATTTTATTTAGATTGGACTGATCCTTATGATAAATGTTTGGTTCATGCTCAGGTAAAAAACAGATAAATATTTAAATAGGCCTTTGGTGTTTTTTTTCTGTCTTTTACTAAATATGAAGAGCCAAAAAGTAACATAAACCCAGTTAATTAACAACAGGTAAGAAAGGAGCGCAGGTTGCGGCCGGCACGGATAAAATAGACTCAGATATGATATAACAGAATGATGGAAAACTTCCTGTAAGGAGCTGATCTGGTTTAGTGGTTCTCCAAGAAACACCAACGGTTCCTCTAAAGATGTTAAAATGATCGGGGATGTTTAATTTATGTCTTTCCCTTGTAAGTTATTGTAAGTAGAGTTACAAGTACGTAGTTTAGCTGATTTATAAGCTGAGGCTTCCAGGCTCTGGGGTGGTTTTCTACCATTCAGTTTTGTAGAGATGAAAGTTCCTCATGAAAAAAATAAGTCAGTAACAGGAGAACTGAATGGGACAAGATCTGCATGATCTGAGAATGATGAAGAGATGGTGTTACCATGGAAATAAGGAGGTGAAGGATAATCTCTCTTTGCCTGATGATTCCCTCTGATAGGATTCTAGACAAAGTCTTAAACCAGGAAGATCTTTCTGGTCTAAATCTTCCTGTGAATGTTTTAATGTGGACTCTGTTATTGTTCCAGGCAACCAGTGAACCTCAGTTCTTCTCTGATCTTCATGGAAAGGTCTCACCTGTGTGCAGCAGTTCTCAGTCTCCAACCCCTGGCTGCTCTCCAGCACCACTTGTCTTCAAGTACCAACGGTGTGGGATCTCCCTCACATTCTCCTGGACCTCTGGGCTTCAGTCCTCTTTCCTGATCTGCTTTCTCCCCTCAGACTGATCAGGAAATTCAGCTGACTTCCTGCAGATCTGCGCTTCCAGATTCTTGTTGACTTTTAAATAAAATTTTAAAATTCACTGGTTCTGGTTGTGATTCGGCGGGGGCGTCAAAGAAATACAAACCAACACGCAGGATCATCAGTCAAGTCTGACTCAGCAGAACTGTAGAATACCCTCCGAAAGATTGCAGACTCGACTGATGGTTTTCAGTATTTATTTCCAGGCTCCATGAAAGTAACTTGTTGAAACCATTGTTATAACTTGTGCCTCCTCCGGGGGTTACTCTTTATCTTGCAGATGTTTATTATTCATACTGTTACTTATCTCCTTTTTGTTTTCCTTAAACTTCTTACTTTTATCGGTAGTTTGTTCTGTTTTTGCCTCCGTTTTTCCAGTGTGATACTGACAGGAAGTAGTTAGCGGTTTTTCAAAATAAAGCTCATTATAACCAAAAACTCAAAACCGAGCAATTTGCATATCAAAACACATGAAATACATTTCTTATGGTAAATACAAATCATGAACTGTATTTTATACGCTTAAATCATGAAAATAAATGCGTTGAAAAGTAGCTCAACTATATGGTAAAGGAATATTTGATTGTTTTTAATAACCAAACGGGTGGTTTGCTACAAGAACCTCTGTCAGGTTTGTGCAGTGAACCTATATCACTGCCTAAAGCCTGGCATACTGTACACTGTGCAATTTTCGGGAAAATTTTACAGTCGAGCGAGAATTTTTCGATCAGGCCGACTTTCAGCTTGTTCGTGAGTCGTGTGGTGTACAGGGGGCTACAAGGGGCGATCAGCCTCTAACGACCACCTCACCATCAGGAATCGTCAGGTCAAACATGTTTAATGTTCTCCCCACCGTCATTTGCAAATCGCTCAGTGCGCAAACAAAGATTCTTCTTCTTCTTCTTCCTCTCAGATGTAACCACAGCAGCATGGTGGGGATGCATTGAGTGAAATGGAGTTCTTTCTGTAAAACTGACAGACTGTTCAGAGGTCCAAAGTCCTTTTTCAGCTAAAATAAAACCTGCATTTTATAGAACTGTGATCAAACATAAATCAGAACATGTTTACTTTTTAGTTTTGTTGTACGGTGATCTAATATAGTAGTGCTCAGCTTTGACCAGCATCCATCTCTCTGATTGGCTGCTTCTGTGTCTCTTCAGGGAGGAGGGACAGTGTGTGGAGGGCATCATGGAGATCTTCGACATGCTCCTAGCAGCAACCTCTCGTTTCCGGGAGCTGAAGCTGCAGAGGGAGGAGTACGTCTGCCTTAAGGCCATGATTCTCCTCAACTCTAGTGAGTATCACCAACACCCTGCAGAACGAGCAGAGAGCTGCACCAAGGTCACACAAAGATACAGAGTGTACTTGGCTGTGTGTAATCAGTAAGGCAATGTGTGCTTTAGGTCCTTATGTAACCTAGATAGCTCTGACCCTCTGCTCTACTCAGGCTCTGGAGGCTCAGGAGGTGCAGAATCTGCCACCACATCTCCAGAACACACTATGAAAACAAAAAACAACAATCAGCACAGTCTCTGTACTCAGAGCCAGACTACAGCTGCTTCACCTACTTCCAGCGCATTGCTGGTTTATTTTGTTCCCAGAAATTCATCTTTCAGAGAGTTAAATGTTTAATCTCCTGTCAGTTTTTACCATAAAGGATTAAGTTCAGGAGTGCTTGATAAAGTCTGAACATGTGAAGCAGACAGGTTTCTGATCAGCATGAAGGACGAGTCCAAGTAGAGAAAGCAAGAACTGAGGCATTTCTCTCACATCACTGACGGCTTCTTACCCCAAAACATTCGTCCCTTCAGTGTGTGAAGCTCTCATTTCCTCTTTTCTGTTAGATTCTTATTATATTGAGGATATCTTGACATGTTTCTATCATAAATAGACCCTATCATTTCTTCGAACCTCATTAAGCTTTTTTAGTTTTATTGATAAATCAGGGGAAGCTTTTCCCTGCTGGTTTCTAGTTACATGGGGATGAACTGACCTGCCAGCTTGTTTCCAGTGGTTACGGCGCCCACTTCTGGCCAGCAGACACTGAGCTCAGTTCATTCATCCGCTTCTTGGTGGGTCCTGAACATTTCTGTTAGAATGCAGGACTGGACCTCCTGAGGAACCAGTGAAGGGAAGCTGGGGGGTGGACGGGTAGAAAGCTGAACCTCGGCTGTGGTTGTAGGCGGACAGGTTGATCTACAGCCTCTCCTCTGCTCCACCCTCTCAGGTTTCATCCAGACAGTTTGTTACAGAGTCTTGGTGGTTCTGTGACAGGCCAGATGGCCCAGATGAAGGGACCGTGCAAACATCCAGGCCTCAGACCAGGTTTCAGTTGGCTTGGAGATGACTTGGTTTTAGGAGCAAATAAAGTCAGTTATTGCTTTATGGAGCTGCAGTAATCCAGTTTCATTTGCTCTCCGCATTTTATATGATACAGAGTTTTCATCGGGTTTCTCCTGCTGTTGTTTTTGAACGCTTCTCATCTGACCCTCAGCACGAAAACTGTTAAACATCTGGGAAACTTTCATGACTACAACCTACCTGAACACATAGATAAGGCACCTTCACCAGGTGTAACAGAACCAGCACCTTCACTTGGTGTAACTAGCACCTTCACCAGGTGTAACACAACCAACACCTTCACCAGGTGTAACCAGCACCCTCACCAGGTGTAACACAACCAGCACCTTCTCCAGGTGTATCCAGCTCCTTCACGAGGTGTAACACAACCAGCACCTTCTCCAGGTGTATCCAGCACCTTCACCAGGTGTAACACAACCAACACCTTCACCAGGTGTAACCAGCACCCTCACCAGGTGTAACACAACCAGCACCTTCTCCAGGTGTAACCAGCACCTTCACGAGGTGTAACACAACCAGCACCTTCTCCAGGTGTAACCAGCACCTTCACGAGGTGTAACACAACCAGCACCTTCTCCAGGTGTATCCAGCTCCTTCACGAGGTGTAACACAACCAGCACCTTCTCCAGGTGTATCCAGCACCTTCACGAGGTGTAACACAACCAGCACCTTCTCCAGGTGTATCCAGCTCCTTCACGAGGTGTAACACAACCAGCACCTTCTCCAGGTGTATCCAGCACCTTCACCAGGTGTAACACAACCAACACCTTCACCAGGTGTAACCAGCACCCTCACCAGGTGTAACACAACCAGCACCTTCTCCAGGTGTATCCAGCACCTTCACCAGGTGTAACACAACCAGCACCTTCACCAGGTGTAACCAGCACCTTCTCCAGGTGTATCCAGCACCTTCACCAGGTGTAACACAACCAGCACCTTCACCAGGTGTAACCAGCACCCTCACCAGGTGTAACACAACCAGCACCTTCTCCAGGTGTAACCAGCACCTTCACGAGGTGTAACACAACCAGCACCTTCTCCAGGTGTATCCAGCTCCTTCAACAGGTGTAACCAGCACCTTCACTTGGTGTAACTAGCACCTTCACCAGGTGTAACACAACCAACACCTTCACCAGGTGTAACCAGCACCCTCACCAGGTGTAACACAACCAGCACCTTCTCCAGGTGTATCCAGCTCCTTCACGAGGTGTAACACAACCAGCACCTTCTCCAGGTGTATCCAGCACCTTCACCAGGTGTAACACAACCAACACCTTCACCAGGTGTAACCAGCACCCTCACCAGGTGTAACACAACCAGCACCTTCTCCAGGTGTAACCAGCACCTTCACGAGGTGTAACACAACCAGCACCTTCTCCAGGTGTAACCAGCACCTTCACGAGGTGTAACACAACCAGCACCTTCTCCAGGTGTATCCAGCTCCTTCACGAGGTGTAACACAACCAGCACCTTCTCCAGGTGTATCCAGCACCTTCACGAGGTGTAACACAACCAGCACCTTCTCCAGGTGTATCCAGCTCCTTCACGAGGTGTAACACAACCAGCACCTTCTCCAGGTGTATCCAGCACCTTCACCAGGTGTAACACAACCAACACCTTCACCAGGTGTAACCAGCACCCTCACCAGGTGTAACACAACCAGCACCTTCTCCAGGTGTATCCAGCACCTTCACCAGGTGTAACACAACCAGCACCTTCACCAGGTGTAACCAGCACCTTCTCCAGGTGTATCCAGCACCTTCACCAGGTGTAACACAACCAGCACCTTCACCAGGTGTAACCAGCACCCTCACCAGGTGTAACACAACCAGCACCTTCTCCAGGTGTAACCAGCACCTTCACGAGGTGTAACACAACCAGCACCTTCTCCAGGTGTATCCAGCTCCTTCAACAGGTGTAACCAGCACCTTCACTTGGTGTAACTAGCACCTTCACCAGGTGTAACACAACCAACACCTTCACCAGGTGTAACCAGCACCCTCACCAGGTGTAACACAACCAGCACCTTCTCCAGGTGTAACCAGCACCTTCACGAGGTGTAACACAACCAGCACCGTCTCCAGGTGTATCCAGCTCCTTCAACAGGTGTAACCAGCACCTTCACGAGGTGTAACACAACCAACACCTTCTCCAGGTGTATCCAGCACCCTCACCAGGTGTAACACAACCAACACCTTCACCAGGTGTAACCAGCAGCTTTACCAGGTGTAACACAACCAAAACCTTCACTAGGTGTAACCAGCACCTTCTGCAGGTCCTACAGAAAAAGCACCCTCACCAGGTGTAACAGAACCAACACGTTCACCAGGTGTAACCAGCACCCTCACCAGGTGTAACAGAACCAGCACCTTCACATGGTGTAACATAACCAGCACCTTCACAAGGTGTACCAGAACCAGCACCTTCTCCAGGTGCTACAGAAAAAGCACCCTCACCAGGTGTAACAGAATCAGCACCCTCATCAGGTGTAACAGAACCAGCACTGTCACCAGGTGTAACCACCACCCTCACCAGGTGTAACACAACCAACACCTTCTCCAGGTTTATCCACCACCCTCACCAGGTGTAACACAACCAGCACCTACTCTAGGTGTAACTGGCACCTTCACCAGGTGTAACACAACCAACACCTTGACCTGGTGTATCATACACCTTCACCAGGTGTAACAGAACCTGCACAGTCACAAGGTGTACCAGAACCAGCACCTTCTCCAGGTGCTACAGAACCAGCAACTTCACCAGGTGTAATTAGCAGCTTCACCAGGTGAAACAGAACCAGCATCTTCAGCAGGTGTAACAGAACCAACACCTTCATCAGGTGTAACCAGCAGCTTCACCAGGTGTAACCAGCACCCTCACCAGGTGAAACAGAACCAGCACCTTCATCAGGTGTAACCAGCACCTTAACTAGGTTTTCCAGAACCAGCACATAAACCAGGTGTAACCAGCAGCTTCACCAATTAAAACAGAACCAGGACCCTCACCAGGTGTAACCAGCACCCTAACCAGGTGTAACCAGCACCCTAACCAGGTGAAACAGAACCAGCACATTCATCAGGTTTAACTAAACTGGTGAACACAAATCTGCTTCCACACCTGGATGAGAGGAACAAAAAACCAAACCTAACAGCAAAAAGAAGACAACAGAGAACCAAAGTAAAGATCGCTAAATAGAATAGAACTTTATTGATCTCACAATGGAGAAATACAGTGGATCCAGATTTATACAGTGGAGGGTAGAATATAAAGGAAATTTTAAGGTGACATATATACAGTGTCTTATGTTCAGTAAAGTGGTGGCAGGTAAGGTGCTGTTTCTGGTTTAGTAAATAGATCAGTAGTCAAGTTAAGTAGTTAAGTTATTGCAGTGTTATTAAACCAGGTTAGAGGGCAGTGGCATTGTAATGCATGCCCCTTTTTCCAAACAGGGTGTAAAAAGCTTTGACTAAAGGAGCTGCTCATCTCCTCTCCAGTCTGCTGCAGAGGGTGGAAGGTGTTGTCCATGATGGATGGAAGCTTCTACAGCACCCTCCTCTCAGCCACTTCCTCCACTGAGTCCAGAATGCAGCCTAGTATAGAAACAGCCTTTCTTACCAGTTTGTTCAGTCTCTTTTTGTCCCGCTCTGCGCTGCCAGGGGCCCTGCAGACAACAGCGTAGAGGAGGGCTGATGCCACCACAGAGTCATCATACAAGGTTTGAAGCAGGGACCTGCTCACTCCAAAGGACCTCAGCCTCCTCAGGAAGTGGAGGTAGGCGGCTCTGGCCCGTCTTATACAGGCTGTAATGAGTCCAGTCCAGTTTATTATTGACGTGAACACCCAGGGATTTGAAAAGCTGCAGTGTTTTGTAGGTGTTTTTAACATTAGCAAAAAAAAGAAGCTTCCAGAGCAGCGAGTATCTCTCAGAGTCAG